TCTCCCTTCTTTCCTCTACCTCATCTCTCTTCTTCCTCTAATTCCCACTTTTTAGCTATAGTAGGGTTGTCCATCTTTAGTGCAAGTATTGAGTCACAGTCCAATTTTTTGTATATGGGTCTTGTAGATTCCCCGTTTTTATAACTATATATTTACAGAGCACTGACCTATAGGCTGTACCCATCCCTTGGTTGCAAGTCAATGTAATATCCTACTATGATAGTAATCGTCATATATTTACTCAAAAGATTAGGGCGAAAAAAGGAAATCGGATCTTAGCTAAAGAAACTTCAATTTGTAATCACCTTCAATGAGAAGGGAGTAGGAAGTTGAGTCACCCAAAAAATAGTAGGTAAGCACCCCACTAGAGCAATAGATAGCAAAAACACCATTACAAGTGAAACTCAAGAAAAGGCAAAGCTCAGAGGCATCCAACCAAGAGAAGTGTCCAATGAAAAAGAAACTTGACTGCAACTACTGCAAAACGGCCATCACAAGGACAAGCATTGGTCTTTACATGGTCAACCTTCCAATGCTAGTACAGCCAACTACTCAAACTATTGATCTCACTATTACATAGATTCTTCAATGCCTTGGGAGACTAGAATGTAATGCACGTTCGGCCCCTCAAGTAGTACATAACTCACATTCTCTTCTCTCAAACCCACCACAAACTGAATATTTGATTCTGGAGCTACTGGCCATATGATAGGTAAACCGACTTTAGCAATCCGAGCTCTCAAAGTGGAGCATGCAGATTTATCCCCAATAGTTTCTTTATCAAATGATCTTCATTCATTCCCTGCTAACCTTCTCTTTATTTGTAGCATTATTAGGACTAGAAACCGCTCCATGACATTTTATCTTATACATTGTATCTTTCAGGATTTGAGAACTATCGAGTGCGAAAGGTGAAGGTAGGGAGTCAAATGGTATATACTTGTTTGATAGATGTTTATGGCTTCTACCACGACAAGAAAGGAGGGGGAGAAGTTACTTCATACTCGTTTAGGACACCCATTAAACTTTGTTTCACATTTCTTGAATTAAACTAAGTCTTTGAATAATTGTGAAGTGCATCAGTTGTCCAAACAACTTTATATTCATTTTTTCATGATAAAAGTCCATATAATAAACTATTCGATGCATTCAAATGATATTCATTTCTATCATGCTGAAGTCCACATTATAACTATTTTGTCAGAATCTCCTATTCCTTTATTTAGTTTTATTGATGATTGTTCTTGTATTACATGGATTTACCCTATCAAATCTAAGATGAAGTAGTATATGTGTATTAAGCTTTTCATAAAATGATTAGACTCCAGTACAATGCTAGACTTGTGCATTCTACGTCTCGATAACGGAACAAAATTTGTCAATTGACACATGGCTAAGTACCTTGAAGGAAATAACATTTGTCATTAAACATCAAGCCCTTCTACACTACAGGAGAATGGTGCTGGAGGTACCTAGGGGCATTTTATTTACTATGATTGAGCCTAAGATTTATTGTTGTTTTGTTGTATCTGTTGCACCCTGCAAAACAAATAGTTTGTTCACTTAGGTTTCACGTCGCATTTCACCATTAGAAAAGACGACTGGAAACATCTTAAGGTCATCGGGTGTGCATAAGTTAGAACCTAAATCATTCATGCTAATTTTTTTAGGATATTATTCCACTCAAAAAGATATAAATATTTTGATACTACAAAGATTACTACGTTTTGCATAGATTTCATATTTCTCTAAGGATCCCAATCATCATCTCATATGTTTGAGGATCATATCATTTAACCAGTTTCTACCACGCCATCTGCACCACAAAAAGTCAGTTGCCACAAATATGGAGCCTCCTCCCCATCCAACTTACAGTGAAAGATTAATCCTACTAATGAACAACCTGCAGATTCATAAGACGGAATGTCTTCGACAACTCTCAGCAATCAGATCACAACCCAGGTACTTCCCTATTAGGCTTTGATCTATCTATTGCTTTGGAAGATGGAAAAGGAACCCTCATCCAATTGAGATATTTGTTACCTACTGATATTTGTTACCTACTCAGCAATGTTTTCTTCCTCGCGTTGTGCTTATCTCTCTTCTATCAACTTTGTTTCAAAGCTAAAGACCTTCTACAAAGCAATTACCAATTCCAAATGGAGAAATGCCACCAAAGAGGAGACAAAGGCACTTGACTTGGGATATGGTTCCTTTATCTAAAGGAATTAAACTGCTCCTAAATAGCACCATTGATTGGTGCGAAGCCAGACTCGTGGCCAACGGATTTAACAAGCATGAATTGATAACCATGAGATATTTGCTCCTATCGCTCGGATGGGAACTCTTTGGGTCCTTTTTCTATTGCTTTACAAAAATAGAAACTGGGAATTATTCCAATTGGATGCTAATATGCCATATTCCATGGGGATCTCCAGAAATAAGTCTACACGCGGTGCCCACCAAATCTTGCTACCAAGGCACTGTCAAGCCTTGTATGTCACCTCACAAAAGCCCTCTGTGCATGTTTGAGAGATTCAGTCAAGTGATGATATGCACTTGATATACATGTAGCTTCTCAGGTTGTTCCACGTTTGTAAAGGTATAGAGGTAAGCGACTATAATTCACTTATACATTGATGCACTGAGAATGATACAAAATAAATCCAAAAATTAAGGAGTATCTGCACACCAGTTCGATATTAAGGATATGGGAGTGCATAAATACTTTGTGGGCATTGAGGTTGCAAGTTCATAGAGAAACTTTTATATCCCAACGTAGGTAAACATTGGATCTTTAAGAAAACAACAAATTTGGCAGCTCATCCCATAGACTCTATACCAGAACTCAATTCTGGTACATTAGGATGTTGAATACTACCAGTGATTAGTTGGCCGCGTAATCTATTTGATCATTACTCGTTGCGTAATCTATTTGATCATTACTTGCCCCGTCATCATGTTTGTGGTTAGCTTAAAGAGCCAATAGAGCATGCTCCACGCACTAGCCAATCTTCACATAGTCACTCGCATCATTTGCTGATTAAAATAAACTCCATGAAAGGAGATACTTGGGTCACAATGCTTGCAGTGATCTATATGAACATACCGATGCAGATTAGGCAATATATCCTCTCGATAAGCGATCCACCACTGGCCATTGTACTTCTCCCAGGGCAATCTTGTTATATAGTGTGGCAAATAGAGAAAATGTTATGGCTCGCTCTACTGAGGAATTGGAGTACAAATTTTGGCATCATCTTCATGTGAGCTAGTATGGTCGAAAGCACTTCTTAATGATGTTGGTTTTCCTTTGAACGGGTGAGGTCTATCCCACTCTATTGTGATAATCAGGCTGCGATCCACATAGCAACCAACCTAGTATTCCACGAGTGAACTTAACACATTAAAGTTGATTGTCACTACATGTGTGACAAAGTAACTTCAAGGATTATATCTTCTCCTAATGTGAGAGACTCTAAACAGCTTGCAACCAATTATACTAAAGAAGCCGGCCGGGGAAGGTTGTGAAAACTTAATAGTAAGGGGTCCCATAAGGGCACCTTTGTCCTTTATGTACACTTTTATACTATGCTTGTATTATATTTGTCCACAGCTCATAAACCAACTTATGCGTACAACATAAAATACATGAAATGGCAGTGGAACAATAGTTGTTCTTTTTTTGGGTCTTATTTCTCTCCTTCAATATTGTTGTGTGAGCCAGCAGCAGTTCAACCCTTTCTCATGAAATAAAATATTCTAAAATTGTACCTTTCTTAATTGGTAACTGTTTTACAAAGGAGACAACTATTCATTCTCGAGACTGCAGATTACTAAGCATGCATATTAAGCCAAACTGGGCATGGTAGAGATCTTCAATCCTCAGAATTTGATTGAAATACTACATAAAAAACAACAAGAGAAGGGAAAATAATCGTGTTTTTCTTACAAAAAAAGAAACAAAAGAATAATCATCATTAGCCAAAATGAAAAGAAATCTTCAGAAATAAAAAGTATGTTGTATACAAAACAATGGCAGCAGAATGCAAATTTCTTGTAAGACATGCTGAAAAATTCAGAAATAAAAAGTATGTTGTATAGAAAACAATGGCAGCAGAATGCAAATTTCTTGTAAGACATGCTACTAGACATATGTCTACTGTATGAACAAACTTACTCTCGGATATGAGAATCCAAAAATGCAGTTGGGTGAAACTTGTCGAAGGATGTCCACTAAATTCTAGTCTCAATAACCTTCTTCTGATATATTTATGTGAAAATGCATCTTTAGAGTGAAAGCATATCATCATTAATTTAGAGTAACATCGTAAAAAATAGAGACTAGCCACTACCTCGATAGGAAACGTACGAAAAAGTTTTACAACTTTCTTCCTTTTCCTTTCAACTGCCAACTGAAATTTCAGCAATTGATAGATCTACAATAATTTGGTTCTCATCAGAGTAAAATCACAAAGTATTCCAACCCCAGAAAATTGTGTTCTGATGGAGGTGTCATGAGGATAGCAGTTTATGACTGCAAGGATATCAACAAGTAGTTTATCATCCGTATTGTGTTTTATTTTTCTAATTTAATTGATTTTTATTAACTGTATCATAATGTATTGGGGTGGATTACATTCCATTAGTAAGCTCTTCTTCTCTCAAGACTTTTGGAAGGGCACATTTTAAGTTTTGAAAGTATAGATGAAGGTCCTGTTCTGCCCCCGTGGACCATCATAAACAAAGACCATTTGCCTACCCAGCACTTGAAAGCCTGAAACCGATAACATCTCATATAGGAAGTAAAATAAGCCACTGGAATTTAATATATTAGTTTACAAATTCTAATAATCCTTGGAAGACCATCAGGTTATACTTAACTCCACAAGCAAAATTCAGAAAGCGACATGCATTACAAGTAAGATACTCTACAAAAGACAGCTGAAATGAATAAAATTGGTGATTAGTAATATGAGTTTAATGAAAGCATGCCATACCAGCACAGACATTCCTAAAAGCCACAGCTGCAGCAGAAGCAGATTCTTCAGATGTACTCATTCCTCCAGTAAGGATATCAATAATAGATGGGAGAAAAGACAGGGCAACTGGTGTGGCATCTATCCATTTTGAATATGCTCCAATTGTCAAGCAAGCTTAAAGCATGACACAGAAACAAAATAAGAACAGCTGTATACAACAGAATGCTTTCCAGAGTGCCAAAAAAAGATGCAAAAGCATGTTACCAGTCTGAAGTAGTTGTGGCTGATGAGGTAGTTTGGGGAGAATGGCCATAACCTGTACAAATTTCCTTAACTTAAATTGTAGTTTTGTAGCTGGGAAAAAACTCAATGCTGCAACATGCTCACAGCTGAAACTACAGCAGGTCATGAGGATTGAAACATGCTGAATCAAGCAACAAAACTTGCATGTCAATACTTGTGTCACCCTGATTCACATAAATTGGATTTTCGAATCCTAAAACACAACTCCCAAAAACCCTATTTTAAGAAACAACAGTAATACGTCAAGGTCAGGAGGAATATCATCTCTACATTTGCAAGAATTTCCTTTTTCTGATTTTCTGAAGGCATGCCTTAGGGTTCGGTCACGACACACTATTCAATGCTTACAAATAAAAATGTTCTAATCATAGCCTTCTTTAGGTCGTGTTGACATAACACTGTCAAGCATATGTCCTTAACCCATAGAAAAGCTTTCAGGTTTCAATTACATACTTGGTAAATGACAATACTAACACTGTTAGAAAAAGTAAGGACATTTCTCTTAAGAATGTGATTAATATTTAATGTATGTGGGCAAAAATCCAATGCTGCAAAATTACAGCAGGTTTAGAGTATGAAAATGAACTCCAATACTTGTGTCACCCTGGTACACATAAATTGGATTTTCAAATCCTAAAATAACAATGCCCAAAAGCCTCTCATAAGAAACAAAGATAATAGGTTAAGGTTAGGAGGAATATCAACTATATGTTTACAAGAATGTCCATTTCAGATTTTCTGAAGGCATGCCATGCAGATTCATCAGGACATTATTGAATGGTTACAAATGAACATGTTCTGACCATAGCCTTATCAACATAATACCACCAAATATATATCCATAACCAATTTCAGGTTTCAATTACATACTTGGTAAATGACGATGCTAGGCTCTATTGAAAAGGTAAGCACATTTATCATAAGGCCGTGATTAATGTTTAACACCAATAAAGGTTAACCTATTGGTTTGAGAGGGACATGTTGCATATCACAGTTCACCTCATTGTATACTAAAAAAACAGCTACAACTAGCTGAATGAAATTCTCAAAGATATTTAAAATACGGCTTCAACAGTTGTAATCATAAAATATCACAAAATGAAGTATAATTGTGAATATACAAATAAAACATCTAACAGAAGAGAGATTAGATTCATAATTGCATATTATACACAACCTCTAATCTCTATTTTAAACAGTGATCTACTCAGTAATCCACAGGAAAATGACTTAATGATGGAGTTGCTCTGATGATTAGCAATTGTTTATCATAAATGATTTCATGACTTCAATTCCCAATCCTGACGATACCAATTCAAGGTTTAAATATCTCTTATCCACCCAACACTTTTGAAGTACTAAAGAAACAAGACAAAATGTGGCAGTCGATCCCATTCTAAAACAGTAAACAAAGTGAAACATGTTCAACAAAAGCATGGACATTACAGGGCGCTCCTAACTAATCCTCAAACTTGAGGTTGGACGATGGGAAGCCCCAAGTGAAAGTCACCTGGGAACTACTGTAAGGACACAGGACTGCCATATGCCCCTCCAGCCAGGGACAAGAAAGAAAAGAGGAGCACACAAACTTGTGGTGGGGGGGGTAGGGGGAGAAGCATTTGGATGCTGGTGGGTAGCAACCACATACTCTCACACATTAGTTTGGCATGAGCTAGAAGTCCCTGAATATTTAAATTAATTGTTTTCCTTTTTTTTGAGGTTTTTTTTATTTTGGTTTTTTTTTTTTCCGGGGGTTGGAGGGGGTTGGCGTGGGTTGCATATGGGCCTACCGGTTCAATCAGGATCTAGACAAAAACCATCCCCACTGTCCCCTCAAGACAATTTGCGAAGATCGGTGGCAGTATCCACTCACCGAAAGAATAAATAGAACTAAAATTTGGCAATTTACTCCATTAGTAGTCATAATATGAGTAATAAGTGTTAGCACTCAAGAGCGAAGTCAAATCCCGTTCCGTCATTCTATTTGGGGCGGCTACACTAATCCCGTTCCACCATTCTACTCTATCAAGGGCCACACCCTTGGTCAAAGCATAAGTCACCATATCTTTAGGATCAAAGCCCCCAAGAAATTTAGGATTTTTTCATATAATTGTAGTTATTTACACACATTATTTGTGCTACTGCACTATAAGAGATACTGAATGTTCAGTCACTACAGTTTGACATTGAAATTTCCAGCTAACTAATCACTCATCTCCTCACCATCAAAGCCCCCATGATATTACGAGACATTATCATTAATAGGCAATATGCAGTGCAGGTTTACTCCTGCAAGCAAAAAACATAACATGAATCCATGACAATGCATACAGGATTATTAGAATTAAAAACTCAGTGGAATTCATAAAGTGAATAAACACGGGAAGGGGAATAAAGAATAAGCAGCATTGACAATACCATTGAAGCTACAAAGAATTGGAGCCAAATTTCAATGTATGGCAGCAAAAGAGAATATGTTGACATCATATCTCCATACCTGTGGCATTATATCGACCTCATAGTCAGGTACATATTCTGATATCGCTCTGATACAATATAGAGCACCTTCTGCCACACGCCAATCCCAGGATTCATTGTTTCCCTTGCTGCCAACTGCCTGTTTGCAACCAATATTTAAAAGGATACTCAAACCATGATAACATCTTAAGATATCATTCATATGAACAGGAAAAAACATTGTAAAATGGCCAGTTGTCATTTAACTACTACTTGTAAATTCCGTAATGAAAGGCAGAAACAGAATTGAGAAATTGTACTGCTTCTAAACAGACATGCTTTAAGAAGGAAAAAAAAGGAGATTACAGCAGAAACAACAATCCAGAGTATAAAGAATCACATTGCTTCAAACATTCTCTCCACATAAAGGAGATATAATGTTGGCAACAGGCAAATGACCTCCCTGAGAGAGTGAATTGCCATTCATCAAAGAGCTACAACCTTACAGCTAATCTGACTGATATCAGCAACCATCCAAGCAGAAAAAACCACAACAGAAAAGTAGTACTAAAGCCCATTATAGAACAGCCCAGAAATTTCAGCAAAACTCTCACATTCGATGTTTTTACTGAGAACCAAACTGTTCAGGCAAAACCCCCCTAAAACAAGAAATGAAATCTCATGAGACATGCCAGAGGGCCAGAAAATTTCAAAACTCATTATGGCCATACTAGGCCCTAAAACCACTCTCATATTTTGGCAGAGATTTGGATCAAATGCAGCATAAAACAAATATTTCTCAATCATAGAGAACAAAATACAGTTTGAAAATTGGACCCATTAATTAAGTGCTGTGAGTTGTAAACATATTAAATTCACATTTATGGTATATAACCAAACTTTGACATAACACAATCTTCTTATTATAAATAAGACTATAAATACACCTAGTTCAGAGATTAAAGACAAAAAAGGAGTCAAAGAGTGACGACCTTATGCAGGCCATGCCACACATTGGTTGCTTAAACTCTTCAATTTACAAAAGCTTATTCATTTATTGTCCCAACCAAAGGAGTAGATCATGAATGAATGAACAAAACGATGTTTTTCCAAGCCATAAGGAACCCAATGGAGAAGGATGTGGTGGGGCCTGAACCAACTAATCAAGTAATATTTATTAAGTAATGTTTCCTATAATTTTGTAACTTATCGCGTGTGAGATAGATCACTTAATACTCACTAAGCTGCTTACATTCAAATGCATAAGATGGTAATTGTACACAACTTAAGGAGACCTGAAAGAGAGGTAATGCCTCCATGGCAATTGTAGTTAATCTAAGGAGACCTGAATGAAGAGTAATGTCTCCTCTAGTACTCAGGCATTCCAAGAAAAATAATTCCCAATGTGATCTCAGATGAAGCAATATTCACGCAAATTAATTGAAATTATGAGCAACTAGAAAGAATCTCACCTCAAAAAATTTAACAAATAGAATCTTCAAAGTTGTTTCACCACCCAAAACTGATGCGGCATCCATTATAATATCCGCAACAGCTGAGAAAAAACACGTCCATTACTTCAGGAAGTCAATAAGAGTGGAGCATAATATTATGCATTTTTTTTATCACCCTACCATTACAAGCAAATAAATCCATCAAAGGAACTTGGAAAGTGTAGAATACCATTTGCAATGGGGTCAAAATAAATTCAAATATGAGAATTTATGTTTATGGGAAGAATAACAAATAGCCAAATTTGGTAACATAGAAGTCATATTTGATGTGAATATGAACTAAAACCCTAACTTAGAACATGGCACTTTAATTTCGAATCAATACATCAATTTTCCATAAGAAATCTTTGCGTTTTTTTTCTCTATGGTACTAATTTGCATCACATATTGGTAGTTCTGCCTTTAGGAGATAAGAAATGGATGTTATTGTTACCCCTCATACTTGGAGTTATCACAGTCTACTAAATTTTCCTTTTTGTTAACACCATAATTTAAGGCTTTCGACATCACATGAATGAATAAAAATCATTTTCTCTTTCCAACTCTTTCGTGTTTACAGGATATTGCAGCAAGAAGCCAAGATATTGAGTGCAAAACAATATGACCTAGATGGAAACCATCCTGTCTCCCGCAGCTCAATCCCTGAAACATGCCAATAAAAGAAATATATAAACAGTTTTTGTTGTCGTGCACTGTTCTTTACAGCTCATGTTTTGATCATACAAAAGAGGCCAGCATTTCAAACTGCAGCTTAAGTAAAGATTGATGACAGATGGAACAAAGATTCAAAAGGCTTCTAGAGTTGAATGTTGAAACTCTAGGATTTTTATGATACACACAAATCAAGGCACCCTTTTCTCTGGTTTAGGAGCTGCCTAGAGTACTCTAGGACTCAGCCTAAACTCCTGGGAGGTTATCAAAATCTGAAGACCACCATGTAACCCCAATAAAAGCCCAAACCTTCTTAGAGTCCGCGCTAACCTAAAAGACCTATCCACATCCATAACACTCTGCAAGATCCACTGGGACCTGCCTGATCTGTTCAAAGTATCAAGAATCAATTACAATGACCCAAAAATCCCACATTCAAAAGCATGTCCACTGTCCTTGTTTCTGGGTTAGTGCAGTGGTGTTGTCATTACTAAGGATATTAGTATCAAGATTCAACTAACATGGGATATGAAGGCTTGGAATGATGTTTGAAGGTCACCTGGTACAGAAATATGTAAATGTATTGCATCCATCCAGAGACACATAATGATCAGCCACATGAAGACCACTCAAAGTGAGAATACAGTAGGTTGGTGGTTAGAGGGGCAGGTGCGTCAGCATAACATCCTATGCTCCAATTCCACCATCAACACATAAAAAAGAAACGCAAGCATTCAGATTAACCATATCAAGTCAGATAATGAAAATAATTTAAGCTTGCCAAGTCCCATAAACGGAAGTGCTACAACACCGCTAACCCGCAAGGCCAACTATTGAGAATTAGAGGCTATTAACCTCCTTGTCATGTCATAGCTTTTGAATTATGCAGAGGACCACATCTGCGTATTTTCTTACCTAATGACAAGCAAGGAAATGTTGGATATGGTATACGAGCTTGAACACTGACCAGAGAGCAAAGCTAGATAGTGTTGAAAGCAGTGAGAAGTGAGTGTTGAGGGCAAGAGAGGTTGAATGAACCACGGGTATCTAAACCATTCACAAGTTCTCTTTTCTTCGATCAGTAATGAGACCTTCATAAATAAAACTAAAACGAAAAGCACAAGTTGTTTCTTATTAAGTCAACGTTTTTTTAAAGTAAAATTCACTCTTCTTATTAAGTCAACATTTAAAAATTAAATTGCAAAATCTATATGTAACATCCAGAGAAAATATCTACAGCCAAATGGATTTAAAAAGTAGATTGTAGAAAAAAGGATTAAGAGCAGATTAGCGGAAACTCAGAAGAAGATTTATTAAATATTTGGGAATATAATTGACTCAGGTCTTGTGCTTCTGCAATTGGTGCTTGTCATGTGAGGAAAACATCAAATCCTTTGAAAAAGAAACCCAGGGGAACAAGCACTATTGGAGGTACTAGACACTAATTAATAAGCATCAACATAATGTAACAATATGCAGTACCATATCTGGTTTGCTTGAAGTCTTTTTGATCCTCTCTTGACATCTCCTGATACTCTTTTGGATACTGAACTCGAAAACTGACCTGAACAGAAAAGAAGTCATTCCGGAGCAGCATGATATAAAATACAGCATAGTGTGTAAACAAGAACAGACACATCCAAAGAAGTGCCACATTCAAGAATAAGACAGCATGCAGTATGCATAACACATTATCAAAGGAAAGCAACCTAATGAGTCCAGAAGAATGTAGTTTGCAGAAGCAGCTTACCAAGGACACAAGCATTTCATATGGCGTGCGGAAAATTGAGAGCCTCCGGTTCTTTTCAGCTTCAACTGCTGCTTCAGTTCCAAATGATAGGTAGGATTCCCTGAAGGAAACTCACAAGATCAAATAATGTGGTCTGCTAACATTTTAACAACAAATGAACTGGAGAAAACCCCACAAAACGTACTTTCGAGTTAAATTATCCTGGAGACTACGCCAAAAATTAAAAGTCATTGAAGTAATGTCATAATCTGGATGTGAAGCAACTTCCAGCAGCACATTCACAATCATCATCGATTCATCAGAACCTGAGACAAATATCTAAATAGTATTTTTAAACCAAAATAAACCAAGTTCGTGGGGCAACACAAAAAAAATAAGATACAGACCAAGCAATATAATGAGCTAACACATAAGGGGGCCCTTCAATATCTCAGACCAAAGACTGGAAAGAATATGTAATTATCAAGTTTAAGAGACAAACAGAATATACCAGTGGCAATTAAGTCGACATAAGAATCTCCCATGTCTGCAAACAAGCGTGCCATAGATTTGACTTCCTCTTCATCCTTCCAGCAGACAAGCGATAGTTCTTAATGGTTCATGCAGAATCATGCATAGACATGTGGCAACACAGCCAAAAAGAGTAATAAAGATCACGAAACTAAATTCGCTACTACTTGAGGAATGACTAAAAGAGAAAAGAGATCGCAATTATCAAAAAAGAGAAAAGAGATCCCCAAACTTCTGTGGGATGCTTCAATTACATAGACAATAAAATAGATGCAAATATCAGCAATGAAGAATTGATCTACGCTTGTTGCTCTCCTATATGCTGCTCACTTAAGCATCTTTTCCTTCTCTTTCCATTTCATCATATTAACCATGTAACAGTAAATCATCCTCATGATGATAAGGCTCAATGTGCAATAAAGAAACATCTAAGGCACACTTAAGGGTCACCTAAGATAGATGATTAGCATGGTAAGAACAGTTCAACTTTACAAATCAATTAGAAACAGGAAGTGTCAACATTAAAACACCTCTGACAATCATCAGCCATCCATTTTACAAGATTATTGAAGAAAAAATCGTAAGGATTGCATGACAAGAAAACAGTTTTGAGTACTGTTTTAAATCCTGGGTTGGTGGGGCTGATCGTTCACCCACAGATCCGTGTCAGATCATTGAATCAATGATCTGATCAGTTCGAATTGGTAATCCAAAAAAATATTAAAAATAAATAAAATTTTAAATAGGGTTTTATTGGGGACTTAAGAAAACATTAGATAAACTTTTTTTTTAAATAAAAATAATATATAATGTTTTTTTTTTCCTTATGCATGGTATCAACAGAAATCGCAGAGTTTTAAAACACCAGTTTCCAAGTTGCCGGAAGAACACAACTGGCGTGCTAGACTGTAAACCACTGCATGATAGGCTCCAACCACACAATTTTATGCAGCACTCTATCAAAGTGGAGCATGAAGGGGAGGACTCTTAGAAGAGGTCTAAGGAAGAAAAGAAGACCTCCACACAAAGATTCTGAAAGAAAGCCGCTTCCAGCACCTAGTATCCCTCATACTCGACTCCTTCAACTTGATTACAGGATACAGCCACACCTTCTAGATGGACAATATTGTGAAAGAAAGCAGTAACCCAATCCCCATTTGTGAGTCGCTTCATGCTACCGTTTTGATGCAACCCATCTCCAGCATAAGCACCACATTGTATAATGCGCACAACCTGGCTCTGCTCATTGTCACTTTAGACAAGGGATCATGGCTCTGCTCATTGTCACTTTAGACAAGGGATCAACCTACTTTGGGTGATCCAACAACAAAAAGTATGCTAGAGCTTTGCCCTTTTTGCCACTATGTCAGCCTTTTTCCTTATTGACACATGGTTTTCAGGCAATTTCACTAAAGATTTGCAACCGTTGATTTCTTACAAACACTCTCCAACTCCTGTTCCTCTAACAGATGTAGCACATGAAGTTCAAGTCATATACACAACATCCAGATAATCGCAGAAACAAGAAGAACCCCAACAGCCGTAGACATCAAGAGGAGCTCCATCCAAAAGTTGATGACTACCACAAGAACCCCAATTCAAATGATCATAAAAGCTATGTCCATTGTCAATGTGACCAACACAGAGAATTGACAAAGAATTTCCTAAACACTCCCTACACTACTAATTGAAGTAAATGAAATGAAACCATCTACTTGATAAAAGTAACAAGTTTGCAGTCTCCATTCTCTAATAGTCTAATGTAATCAACATGTAAAACAAAGTAATCCATCTAGTTCATTCCAATTAATTAAAACAATACCAATTAACCAAAACAATACCAATTAACCAAAACAATACCAATTAACCAGTGACCAATCAAGCACTTAACAAGATATATTAGCCATCTAACAAGCACTAGCAAACAAGGTACCGTTACACTGTAGAGTGCATCATAAATACATTAACATTCAGACCCCAAGGTCCAAACACCAAAAGTTCATGACATATAAAATTAAAAGCGTAATATAGAAAATCAATGTCTCAAATGATCCTAGGCTCCAAAGTTCCAAGACCAAACCCAAATTTGAAAGAAATTTTCATTTCTAGGTTTTAATCACCTTGGCCCCAGAAATCTTTGAATACTTAGTAAATGCTTGCCCGATAAACCTTCGGCACAATGCCCCATCAATCTCAACTGATCGCCCAAAGAATTCCCACATTTTTTGGGAATCTTTGAAATCTAGAAAACAGTTTAGTTGATTTCTAGGCTTTAATCCCCTTAAACCATCAAAAAATCGTTCCATGGGTTTTATTTTATTTCTTTCTTTTCTTTTGGGGGTGAAGAATTTTTTTGCTTTTTTTTTTTTTCGTTTTGGGGGTGGGGGCCGGGGGTTGAGGAGTTTTTTTTCCCCCCTTAAACTTTGCAATAACCAAATGCTTATTATTGATCATTTACTGTACAAAGTAAAGGATTATGTGGGGCATGTTTGGTGGGTGATCAATAAACTGCTTATTAATGATCATCTCTAGTACTGAGTAAAATGCTTATCAGTGATCGAAATTCATGGCCACTTTCGGTCTTAGGATTTTGAGGAAAATGCAACAGCTTGGTCTTTTAAGCTAATACCAAGCTATGGTATCATCTATATCCATCCCCAATCATCTATGTAAAATTTTAAATCTTTCCTCGCAAAATACTTCTCTAATATACTAGAGGGGATGGGTGCATATTTGCTAAATTCTGGGAATCTCGATTCCCAATCGATTGGGACAATGATTCTAGTAATGTAGGAATCAAGATTCCCATTTTGATAGACTCGCAATTCTGAAAGTCATTGAACTGTGTGGGGTCATGTGCGATTCCTGAAAGGCAGGAGACTCGATTCGAACATGATGGGATACCGATTCCTACAAATAAGAATCACAATTCCTATTTTATTGGATCACAATTCTGATTATTGGGAATCACGCCTTCAATGGTTTTCATTATAAGGATGGAGATTTTGAGATTAGCAATCATCTGGCACACGCGATTCCTCGATTCCGATTCTTGAAACGAATCGGAATCACAGGTGTTTCCCACAACTATATATGCGGATGCATCGCCAAAACCCACATATGAGGGGTGGTGCAGTGCACCTCAAGGTACACGCATCAGTTTGAATGCATTATGCGTTGTGCGCTCGTATTTGATAATATTGTTTCTAACTTAATATGGACTTCAAATAGTCAAAAGTACCACCTAGATCTAGGTTAATCTTCGTAAGTGTTGAATAGTATATAACAGAGGAGAACGAAGGGAGGAAGTTAGAAGAAAGATGAAGGTGTAGGAAGAAGAGAGAGAGGTGGCAAGTGAGAATGAGATAAAAAGTGTGGTGTGACTTTGTCGAAAAGAGCCATTAGGTGGAGCTTCCCCCCTCTATATGTTCTATTGTTGCGCTCCAACGAGATGACCCAAAGGATAGCTGCAACCGCTGCGCACCACAGGTATCTTCCTTGTTTGGCCCATGGAGGAGAGAGGAAGGCCTTGACCAATTGGGGAATGGATGAAGGGGTCACCCAGGACCATCCGAAGAGCAGGAGAAGGAGCTCCCACAGATTGCTGGCTGTGGCGTAGTGGATGAGCAAATGGTCCTTTGGCTCTTCCTCTAGGCACATTTTGCATCTATTGGGTAACTGAAGGCCTCTTCTTTGTAATTGGTCGATGATTAGGGCTCTCTTAGAGAAGATTATCCAATTGAACATTTGGATCTTTGGAGGAACCAAGCCCTAGCCACGGCGAGATGGTGAACTACAGGTGCGGGGGAAGGGGGGGAATTGTAGACGGTTTTGAAGACAGGCTTGACAGAGAAGAGTCTGTAAGGGTCCAGATCATGTTATCATGCCCCACCATGGGTAGGAAGGTGGAGTGAAGAATAGAGGAGAGCGCTTGAAACTCAAGTATCTTGAGGTCTGTCAATGGCCTTCTAAATCTCGGGTTCCACACTCTGTGTTGGCTCACTGTTTGGAAATGATCCTCAGTCGTGGCTAGGAGGTTAAGCTCAAGACGAAAGAGAAGAGGAAACTTATCCTTAAGGGGGTTTGGCTGAGCCATAAGTGTGACCAGAACTGGACACAGTTGCCCACAGCAAGGTGGAAGCGAATACAGGTAGTGAACTGAGGCAGGCAATGGAGAAGTGACCTCCATATCCTGGAACAAATGGAGCTTACTAGTGACATGGGTAGCCAATCATTCGGCTGGCAGCGATATTTAGAGCGAACAACCTCCTTCCAAAGGTGGCTCTCTTGCGTGGTGTACCTCCGCCACCATTTTTCGAGGAGGGCTAAGTTGTTGGCTCTGAGATTACAAATCCCTAGACCCCCTTGAACTCTCAGGGAGCATACTTTGGCCTAGGAGATCAAATGGTATTGCCCACAGAAAGTTCCTCATGAATTGTTCTAGCCGGTTAGCAACTGAGACAGGGATAAGCAAAAGAGACATCTGAAAGATGGGGATACTTGAAAACGTGGACTTAATGAGGATGAGACGCCCTGCTGAGGAAAGGTATCTCCCCAACCAACCGATGAGCATGCGCTCAACTCTATCCACTATGTGGCTCCATTGGTGGGACTTAGGTTTGCTTAGACAAAGAGGGTGGCCTAGATATGTAGAGGGTAATTGTTCTGTGATGCAGCCGAGTTGGTCCGCATGGGATGATAAGATATCTGGCTGGACATGGACCCAGATCATCTTTGACTTGGCCGTATTCAACCTTGAAACCCGTCCTCAACTCAAAGCATTGAAGAGTCTCAAGTTTTCAATTTAGTGGGGTTAGCGTCGCAAACGATGAGCGTATCGTCTGCGTATTGGAGATGGTAAATCTCGGGCCATGCCTCCCTACCTTGAAACCTGTGAGGAGGCCACTTAGATACATGCCCGAGATCGACCTACTGAAAACCTCGACGACAATCACGAAAAGGAAGGGGGAAAGCAGGTCACCTTGCCTGAGGCCCTGGTAAGAGGGGAAGAAGCCTTTGGGGACCCATTAATGAGCACCGAAAAGTGCGAACTAGA